CTCATTCTCTCTGTCTCAAATAAATAAATAAATAAATCTTAAAAAAAAAACAAAAAACAAACAAAAACAGAATTCTAGGAAATTCTAGGAAAATCCCCTTAAATGTCATTCAATCATTGTTTTACTATAACAGTAATAAAAACCAAATGCTTTTTTAATAGGTGCATCTACGCATGTTGCTAGAAATTTCCAATTATGATTTTCCCAGTAGCAAACAAAAACAAAATTAATGGCAGCTGCATCCCCCAAAGCCTAAACTGTATTACTAATGAACTCTCAAAGAAAACTCTCAATGCAAAAAATAATCAGGTGAAAATTACTGTAATAATCCAAATGTAGAAATAAAGGAAAGAATTACTAAAATGCAGAGGACCGCTTTCCCGCCATGATCCCATTAACTGTTAAAATAGCCTGTGCACAGTGGTACTTTGACATTACTAAAATCCTTGAACTGCACAAAATCCATGTATACCTTAAAACTGTATGCCTTAATTAAAGTTGGCTGATATTGGACAGAAATTAGTCTATATTTCATAACCATACCATGCTCTGGCTCAGATTTAACAAGTTAGTTTGTTTTAATGAAAGTGCTTGGTTGCATTAAAGTGGGAAATTGTGATCACATATGTGGTGATCTTAATATAGAGTAAATCACAGGCACATGGTTTGCATTACTGAAAAAAGGTCTGTGATACTTTGTCTTCACTGAAGAAGCTTGATAGCTCTTCCAGATACTAAAATTTTAATTCTTGAGGCCATGCCAGTAGGCAGATTTACCTAGATGGGCTGGGATAGGAAATAGTGATTTAGTAGGAGCTGGTCTTAATTACTATTGACAAAATGCCTTAACTTGAGTCTGTAAGAAGCTAGAAGACTTGAATATAATACAGAAAGCAAAATGGCTTTATTCTAGTTACCGTTAATTCCTAAAACAGTGCATAAAGTCCAAGAGCAAAAATTCGGGAGTCTGAGAGACACGGGTTCAGCTACAAACTCTTCATCTTCTGGACAATTTACATTAACATCTAATGACCTCCATTTCCTTATCTGTGAAATGGGGATTATAAATAAGCACCTCATGGAGTTTGTGCATCTTCTATTTCTTTCATGCTTTAAGTGCTGAGAGAAATAAAAATTGAATAAGCAGCCTATGATCTAATAAGGCAATGCACTCTCTTGAAATAATATATGGCAAGAGTCACAGTACTAAGTGCTGATTGATAATTAATATTTACTAAAGACTTAAATTTTGTGCCAGACACTATGTTAAGTGTGTTGTCTGCTTTTTTTTTTTTCATTTAATTTTTAGAACAATTGTATGACTTAGGCAACATCATCATCCCTCATCCCCATTTTGCAGATGAAATGCTGAGGCTTAGAGACAACTCCTTGCCCAAGTACAAGTCTCACAGTAATTTGGTCTGCTGACTCCTAATTCAATGTTTTCTTCATTACTAGTGTTTTGACTGGTTAGAATCAGTGGGGAAAAGGAGGGAGATAGTAGCATCCCTGGCTCAGGTTAAAGGGATGATGGTTCATTCAGGTTAAAAGCAGCTCTGGACCTGTACCGTCCAGTATGGTAGCCACCAGCAGCATGTGGCTATTAAGAACTTCAAATGTGGCTAGTACCACATGTTGAAGTAATAATATTTGGGGTACATTGGGTTAAATAAAATATATTATTAAGAGTCATTTCACCTTTTACCTTTTTCTTTTTACCTAGGTAGTGGAAACTTTAAAACTGCAGGTGTGGCTCCTATTACATTTTTATTAGACGGCATGGCTCTAGCACCAGAACATCTGGGCTTGTTCTGGCTTGACCACCTACTAGCTATGTGAATGGCGAATTCCTTACCCTCTCTGTGCCTTTCATCTATGAAATGGGGATAATAGTGGCACCCACCTCATAGGGCCATTGGGAAAAATAAACAATTCGATAGACATGAGAGGTTCGGGATAATAAGCTCTCCGTAAGTGCATAAAAAGGGAAAATCAGCAAGACTTTGTGGTCTGCTTGATTATAGAAGCCAAGAAAGAAGAGGCGTCCAGGGTAAGTTCAAAGTATGAGATTGGACAACGAATACGATTATTCATAATTCCATAAGAAATGTGAAAAAAGACAGGACTGGAGCTAATTTACTACAGCACTCTTTGTAACAGCAAGAGATGATAAACAACCTAAACCTGCATCAGAAGGAGCCTGGTCGCATTCATCTAACAGACACTTAAGGCACCTGCTAAATGGAGGGAGGTTTTGTGGACCAACGTGGAACTGTCTTCATGTATACTTTTAAATGGAAAAGCAAGGTGCAGAACAGTACCTATGGTATATTAGTATTTGTTAAAAAGAAAGTAAAGAATGAATTTATATATTTGCTCGAGTATACATGGAATATCTCTAGAAAGGACCTTCTTGCCACTGGCGAGGAAAACTGGATGGTTGGGACATGGGGATGGGAGACTGACTTTGCTGTACATCCTTCTGTTCCTTTTGAATTTGGAATCATTTGAATGTAATATATGCATATAAATGATCAAAATTTCAAATAAGTTAGTTTTTAATTGGGAGATGTGAAGGGCAAGTTAGTTACTTGAAATAAGAGGACTTAGGTCCTGGCCTGGCTCCCAGTAGGAAATGTTGGGCTCAAGTTTTGGTTTTCAGGCCATATATCCATTGAATTAATTACCTTTCTCTCCTCTAATTTTTAGAAAAGGCAAATAAATATTATTAAATCACTGCTTTTATGCACCAGTTAATAAAATTCAGCTGCCACCTATTAGGTTTATGTGACCATTTCTAAGGGAGACCAGCCCTCTCTTTCTTGTCTGCTGTCATGTTTTCAGGCTGGTGAAACACAGAAGAGAAAAAGACACCATTCCTGTGCTTGGAAACCACTTTCTAGTTATGAAAGTAAATATGTAAGCTCATGATTAAATGATACTATGAAGCCTGTAATAGAGGGAAAAACTGGCACCAGGCCCTGAAAGATCAATGGAACAGTGATCTTGGAAATGCGTATTTCAGACAGGGGAAGGCTCAGAGGGAAGGAGGAAGGTGTGCAGGTGTGATCCAAAGAGCAGCATGTCTTCCAGGGCCAGTGAGAGCTGTGTTTGAGTACGGGTGGGAATTGAGAGGTCAAAGTGAGATATGAGGATATGCCAGGACCATTAACAGCTCTCTCACAAATTGTGGCTATTTTCTGTGTCCCTCAAATGATGGGCGAAAATTTTCATATGTAGATGGAGTTGTTTAGCAAATGTAAGTGTGCAGAGAGTGGAGTTGACTCAGGAGACAGCCTGGACCCAGGGATGGCAGGATGTCGGAAGGTGGGCCACATTTAGCACCTTGTCCCTATTCCAGGTTACTAAATAAACAAGAAAGAAAAAAAAAAAACACTTTGTGATACTTAAGGTATTAATTTACATTTTTTTTCTTTGCCTCCACGTTTTGTCTCCACTCACTAATCCTACATACGCTCGGCATCAACATCCTTTCCTTGGGGAAGCCTCCTTCAACCCCCCTAGTTTGGCTGCTCCCAACATCATCTGGTATATCTCCAGTCATAGCTGTCACCACACTTCATCCTAATTACGGGGTCAGCTGTCCTCTGCCACACTGTGTACTTCATGTGCTAGGGACTCTTGCCTGATACCGTTGGTGTGTAACCCCTTGTGCCTACCTACCATGGTGCCTGGCACATACTGGGCGCTCTGTAGTTTGTTGAATGGATGAATAAATGAATCATGACTTCAGATAGGTAGGATCTTTGTATTTTAGCAGGAGAACTCAGAACATTTTCATTTGTTCCAAGATTAATAACTACCCCCCCCTCACAGTGTGATATATTAAAAAAAGAAAAATACAATTAGGAAATAAAATGTTGGTTTTTATGATTATTTTAAAATTATTATAGGTACCACTCAGTAATTCTAATATCTTTATAAGCTAAAGTGCCTAACAGCTGCGTTTTAAACAGACATTTATAAATAGTAAAATCAATTCCCTGGCTGTTTATTTTGAAACAAACACCAAATTGCTTATCTTAGAATTGAAGAGCCCTTAAAATTTGGCCCCCTTTTCTCAGTCATCCTTATTTCCGGTGCCATCTACATGGAAGCCTAGGTGATACACCATCGAGACCTGCTTCCTGTCTCCCAGTGTGCTTGGGTCACCGCACCACTCATGGGGGACACTGTCAGGAAACGCTCTCCATCATCACTGCTTCCCAGTGCTCAGGATCTTGGTCTTCCCAAGAGCCTCAGTGCAAGTTTGCCCTTCGTGACATTTTTCTTGTTTGGTGTAGACATTTTCAAAGTTCACCTCAGCAGTGTATTGGTCCAAATGTCTCCTCTGGGGGGAGAAACTTGCCTGATGGAGACAGGCCAGCATCCAGCTCTTCCCCTGTGGTCATCTGTTCCTCTGGTTTTCAGAAGTCTCTTCCTCCCCCTTCACACTCAGCACACAGGCCGCACGACACAGTCCCTGATTACACACCACCTCGTTCTTTGGTTGTGCTGTACATTCAGTCTTACCTGTGTGACAAGGTGATAAAGTCTTCAAGAGCAGAAGTTGTGGGACATGTTGCTCCCCCCGGTCCCCACCAGCATTAGGACGCTGTGTGTCTGTGACGTAGAAGCCAGGTGGTAGACACTTCCTAAGGCAACTGTGAGGTGCGCCCAAGACACACTTCCTTCCGCTTGACTGTCAGACCCTGGAGGTCTGCGCAGGATCACACGGTGCCTTAAATCCAGACAGCTTAAATAATGAAAGAAGTGTGTTTCTAGTGGGCGCCTCCACATTGCCAACTTTGGGTGGTTTTCTCGGAATGACTGACTCATTTTGTTGACGGAATGTGACAAGGATTTTATCTAGGCCCAGAGACAGGAATGGAATAACATGATGGTACACATTTAGGATGTTTACAGTCAGTTTTTTAAAAAATTATTATTATTCTCCCCGTCTTCTCACCATTGAGCTTTTTTGTTTTCCCTCCTGTTAGGATTCCCTGCTGCGGGTCTCTTTCTCAGTCCTTTTGAGTTTGGCCTAATCCAAGACGGAGGTTATGAAGTCCATCCTAGATGGCCTTGCCGATACCACCTTCCGCACCATCACAACAGACCTCCTCTACGTGGGCTCCAATGACATTCAGTACGAAGACATCAAAGGTGACATGGCATCCAAATTAGGGTACTTCCCACAGAAATTTCCTTTAACTTCCTTTCGGGGAAGTCCCTTCCAAGAAAAGATGACTGCAGGAGACAATGCCCAGTTAGTCCCGGCAGACCAGGTGAACATTACCGAGTTTTACAACAAGTCCCTTTCATCCTACAAGGAGAATGAGGAGAACATCCAGTGTGGGGAGAATTTCATGGACATGGAGTGCTTCATGATTCTGAACCCCAGCCAGCAGCTGGCCATCGCCGTCTTGTCCCTCACGCTGGGCACCTTCACGGTCCTGGAGAACCTGCTGGTGCTGTGTGTCATCCTCCACTCCCGCAGCCTCCGCTGCCGGCCCTCTTACCACTTCATCGGCAGCCTGGCAGTGGCCGACCTCCTGGGGAGCGTCATTTTTGTCTACAGCTTTGTTGACTTCCACGTGTTCCACCGCAAAGATAGCCCCAATGTGTTTCTCTTCAAACTGGGTGGGGTCACTGCCTCCTTCACAGCCTCCGTAGGCAGCCTGTTCCTCACTGCCATTGACAGGTACATATCTATTCACAGGCCCCTGGCTTATAAGAGGATCGTCACCAGGCCCAAGGCCGTGGTGGCATTTTGCCTGATGTGGACCATAGCGATCGTGATTGCCGTGCTGCCTCTCCTGGGCTGGAACTGCAAGAAACTGCAGTCCGTTTGCTCAGACATCTTCCCACTCATTGACGAAACCTACCTGATGTTCTGGATCGGGGTCACCAGCGTTCTGCTGCTGTTTATCGTGTATGCATACATGTATATTCTCTGGAAGGCTCACAGCCACGCGGTCCGCATGATTCAGCGTGGCACCCAGAAGAGCATCATCATCCACACGTCAGAGGACGGCAAGGTGCAGGTGACGCGGCCCGACCAAGCCCGCATGGACATTCGGCTGGCCAAGACCCTGGTTCTGATCCTTGTGGTTTTAATCATCTGCTGGGGCCCTCTGCTTGCGATTATGGTGTATGACGTCTTTGGGAAGATGAACAAGCTGATTAAGACGGTATTTGCGTTCTGCAGTATGCTCTGCCTGCTGAATTCCACCGTGAACCCCATCATCTACGCTCTGAGGAGCAAGGACCTGAGACATGCTTTCCGGAGTATGTTTCCCTCGTGTGAAGGCACCGCACAGCCTCTAGATAACAGCATGGGGGACTCAGACTGCCTGCACAAACACGCCAACAACGCGGCCAGCGTTCACAGGGCCGCAGAGAGCTGCATCAAGAGCACGGTCAAGATTGCCAAGGTGACCATGTCTGTGTCCACAGACACGTCTGCCGAGGCTCTGTGAGCCGGACGCCTTCCTGGCGGCACAGGAAAAGAAATTCATTTCTTTTTTTTTTTTTTAAAGCTTAAAATCTAGAAGAGTCTGTCGTCTCATCGGTTATATTTTTTTAAGTTGACCATGCTCAGTGAAAGGTGATTGTTACCAGGATCGGTTATCAGTTCTCTAGCGTTTCGATAGTGTACTGAAACTCAGTTCTTCGGGGGTTTACAGTGAAGAAAGCCTGCTGCTGATGTGACCGAAGCTTCTTCAAAGTCTCAGCGAAATAGGAGAGACACCTGCGGCTACATGGTCGGAATTCTAAGGACCCGTAGGAAAACACCATCAAATGAGTAATGCCTTTGTAACCACAACTCTCATTATAATGTGAAATGTATTTGTCCATAAGTATCAGAGATGTCCATTTTTACAAGTTACAGTACTAAAGTAGAGCTCTTTTGTAAAATGTATCATGTCATGTGAGATGTGTATCAGTGTTTACTGTGTGTTATTTATATTTGTCTAGTTCAGCAAAACTGAAAGGTAGACTTTCATGAGAACAATGGGACACAAGCAGCAGATATACACCAGTGAGACCACTTTTTAAAAAATTATTGCCCGTGACTTTAGAAACCTTAATATTTTTTCCAATCAATTTAAATTTGACACTCAGATAACCATAAAGGTTTATTTTTCTGTTAACACAACAAGAAGAATTTGAAGACTCTCCAGAGTATTGAGCAGAATTCATTGACACTTAAAAATTTGTTAGCCCTGCATTTTCATACATGGACATTTATTATCTTCTGGACTATGGCTGTTCTGTTGGGTGATGGATTACAATCAGAATGGAAGAGAGAAGGCATATTGACTTTTATGGCTGACATCTCTGACTTTTCTTTAGTCTTTAGCTATTACTAGACCTCTTAAGACAGCATGTGTCAATCTTAATGTATATTGTTATCACTGTGCAATTACTGTTTACTTGAAGAGTACTGCATTCTTATATTCCAGGTTTCAGTAGATTTCATGCCTGGGTGGCCAAATGAGTCTTCATTTTTTCTTAATTGAAAAGAAGTAAAATTATACCGTGTGTGAGTGTGAATATAAATGTGTGTGTGTGTTTCTATCCTGTAACTGTTACAGTCGTGTCACAAAGTGAGAAAACTGTGACCAAGTGTAAATTGTACCACTCGCTGCACACTTGCACATGAATTCAGTTTCTAAAATTAAGTTCTTCCAGAAAGCTCATTGATAAAAATACTGACCATAAACATTCAGAAAATTCCTCCCCTCCCCCCTTGAGGGATTGGGTCAAGTACTATGAAACTGATCTTTAGATATTTCATAAGACCCGTGTCTAGCAAGGAATGATCAACGACAAACATGCAGGTGAAGGTCTGCATTTACCATGTCAGTGTTGGGAAATGAGTGTCTTGGTTTCTGAGCACCTAAGGTCGACCAAGTCCATGGGGAGGTAAATCATCAAAAGGGAAGTGGTTCTGAAAGGCCCCGTGGTAACATTTGTCGGTGGAGCGTGGAGTGGTGTGACCCTGTTTAAGCAGCACTGGACCCCGCTTGCTGAAGGAGGACTTACCCGGTCTGGTGCATATGGCTAAGGAGGCCAGGCAGACAGTGGGTGAGACAGAAAAAGGCAGTGAGGACCCGACACACTTGTGATTGAGGCTTTGATGACATACGGCTGCTTCTGTGCTTCACCCAGATGCCCTCGGTGACAACCCCAGGACTGGGCTTTGATTGGGTAAGTTTGGGCTAAGGAATAGGCCTCTCCTCTGCTCCTGGTTAGCGAGATCTGCTGAGGTATAAAGATGAGCATGGCTCACTTTCTTCTTATGCCCCAGCCTCATACTCCGTCATGGTGCCATGGGTGCTCAGAATTAGGCCCTTTTCCCAGTAAGCATTAATATTGCTTCAGAAGCCACTTGACCCTGACAAATTTTACCTACAAATAGTCTTCTTATACAGATAAAGCATGGCTCCTACAGGACCCAGAGACCTGCATAGCATGAGTTAAAGTGGAGAGCTAGCATTTATCTGGTGATTTCTAGCTCTCTAGATAGATGAGCAGCCTACTGGGCCAGTGTCCTTCTGTGCAATGTATGGTCTGCAGCTGAATGTGGCCCGTGGGCCAACCTGGGATGGATTTATCTGTCTGTACATACAGCTGAAATCTGCCTGCTGGTTGCCTCACTTTATCTCTCTGTGATATGCAGGGGAGGGCTCAGGGTGCTGGAGGCTGAATATGATCTCTTTAGGAGAAAAAGAAAAGATCATTTACAAAAACTCACCAAGGTCTGGTTCCACTAAAGAATGGCCACTCTTTTGTCCCACATCATCCCGAATGTTAATCCACATGTCTCAGAGCTCACCAGGCACTACCAGCTCTCTTCTCACAGTTCTGAAGACCTGGTGAAGATGAACTTCGTGTTATTTGTAGAAAAAGTCCAGGATTCATTTTTGAAACTGTATCTGTGTGTATGCAATGTAGATTTTATAGTGTGTTGTGCTTTCAAGATCTAAATCATATATAATAAATTAAGGGACAATGGGGCTGACAGCACTAAACTTGGTGCTTATTGATATTCTAAGAAATATCTGTGAAATACCATCACATGTGTGTTACACTACCTTCATTTTAAAACACTTCAATTAGCTTGATTCACTTTGATGCTTTTAATATCATTTCCTAACCCAAGAGACTCAAATGTTCTCCCTAATGAGTATACTTATTAGAATTACCATTCATTAGTATCATTCATTACCTCGTCCCTTAATTAGGCCCATTAACTTAAATATACTTTAAATTTCAATAAGTTTTACAAGGTCTGACTTCAGACTTACCTACATTCCTCTGAAGGTAACATATTTGTCCTGACCGTGCATTTCACTATGATGTATGTCTTCAGAAAGGGCCAAATTCCTAACCTGTTCAATTTCTTCAGAGTAGTGACGAATCTGTCAGCGCTACACCAATAGTTTTATTTAGACAAGGAGGGCTGTTTCCAAGAACCTCGAATTTTCCATTATATGTGAGATTTATGGAAAAGAAACACGGATCTGGGAGAAGCTGCAGACATATGCCTACACTTCAGATGATTCCCAAGCCTCCCCACCACGTCGAGTCAAGTCTATCTGGCATTACGTGTCAAGGAATTTTGGCTGCCTAAACCCACGTTGCAGGAACTAGGCCCAACCACCAGAGGAGAATTAGGCCCTGGATGAGTAGCACTCTAGTTACTGTCCTGTTGGTTCATTTCTGCCATTCCACATCTGTAAAAGAGACCACCCCAATATCATGCACAAAATTAGATTTCTCACAATCTAACTGTATATTTGTATGATATTTTAAAATCTCCTAAATGCTAGGCAATGGCTATTAACAATTGTCTTGCATTGGCCTTCTGATGAAATGTTAACAATGCCTATTGTAATATAGACAAAACATTTTATCTACTGATTTGGGCTGAATGTATGTAAATAGGTTTTTAAAAAAGTCAGATGTTTAAGCAGTGGCCTACAAATCAGTAATTTTCAGATAGAAGAGTTTCTTTACATTGCTGTGGCATCCTAAAACCTATCTTCACATAAACTTAGTGTACTAGGCTTGCTGGGGATCAGAGTCCCCAAGAAAGGAAACGTGTTCTTGTGATAGTATGAATCAAGATACCAGATTATCTGGATTCTTATTTCCAATGTTTCAACTGGGAAACATAACTCTTTATTGTCTGTAAATCTAACATTATTCCTTTTCCTCTTAGAAGAATATCGTATCGTTAGATGTTCGTTGAGCTGGTAACACCCTTGCAACCGCAGCAATATGTTCGTTAGTAATCTGTAGAATACTTTGTGCACAGCTACTAGTAAGATTGTTATTCAATGTAGCTTCAACCATTAAATTACTAGAGCAAAGTAGTACTTTCTTAATATTTACAATGTATTAAGCCCACACTATATTTTATTTCAGTGATACAATTAAATTGTTATTTACTCAAAGAGAAAACATCCCATCATGTCTATTGTCCAAAATTACCTGGAATCAAATAAAAATTCTAGATTCTCATGAAGAACATAAAGTGCCTTTGAATTCTGCCTTATTTCACAGTCTAACATTAAAACACTCAGAATTAAAGTTCTAAAAGATTGTTGAACAACGGATTTGTTCCCAAAAATCACTTAAGACTTTGAGAAATGAGGACAGATTGAATTGATGTAGTCATTTTTAACATAGGAAAAACATGCATAAAGCCATCATTTATATAATAAAGAACAAAAGCCTGCCATGCCTTTTTAAAGCATCATAGTTTAGTGATTTTGCAGTAAATTAAAACAAATGTACTATTCACAATGTGTAATGAAACTGGAACTTAGCAGATTTAGCAAAATATATAAATCTGAGGAATTTATAAACACATTTTCTGAACCATGTGAGAGAGATAATTACTTTTCAATATAACTCATAAAACACATAATTTTTAATTAAACAAGAAGAAAAATAGTTTGGAAATCTTACGATGAAGTAAAAAAAAAGCATTATAGTGGAAGTTTACACATTATTATTATCTGAAGGTATGTTGGCAGTTAATTTTGAAAGTTTTAAATTTTTCAAATGATAAATTGGCAAATATTTGAAAATAGATTATTATTTTAATGACAAAATAAAAATTTATCATTCTGTCTATTTTATAAACACTGTGGTTAACTGCATAAGCTGAATGCTTCTAACAAAAAAGCAAATGACATGTGTTCTTGGTTTTTAAATATTACATTGGAACTTGATGGGAATAAGATACTTATTTCAGTATCTTCATGTAGCAAAACTCAAAACTGATCCCCCATCAATAGTATGTGTGCCATCGATAGTGAAATATACATTTAGAACGATATAGAAACAGAAAACTATGTGAGGTATGCAAGAGGCTCCACAGTGCCCCCTTGGATGGTTCCAGCTGGAAAAATTCCACCCTTACCTCTAGAATATTCTATAAAGTTTCTCCTGGATTGAAGGTGATACATGTGAAGTTTTTGGCCCCATACTGGAACATAGAAAGTGAACAATACACATAATCTTTGTTCTTCAACTCCCTATCCCTGAATACTGGTGAGGGAAATTTGGAGTGTCCATATCTGATTAGTTTAGGAGGTGATGAAGTAAGAAGAATGGATAAGTCTCTGAACATCTAGAAGTACAGGTCATTGGGCTACTGTTCTTCAGAAGTTTCCAGTAATATTAAGGAATGAATACATAGGATTATAAGAGACATGTTTCCCTGTGACATATCCAAAGGAAAAGAGAATGACAGAAAGGAATGAAATGGGGTGAAGGATCAATTAAAATAATACAGCTGTAGACTTGGATTAACAGAAAAATGAGATTCTGGGACTCCCCAGTGTTGACTGCAGCAGCTTGTTCATTGCTTTGAACATGGGTGTTCAAACATTTGTAGAGCAAATGAATAACTTTTCTCTTACCACTAAGAAACAGATGACTTATGTAGCCCTTCAGTTGTTAAGAATAATAATATTAGAGCGGTGCCTGGGTGGCGCCGTCAGTTAAGTGTTCGACTCTTGGTTTCTGCTCAGGTCATGATCTCAGGGTTGTGGGATGGAGCCCCATGACAGGCTCTGCACTGCGCATAGAGCCTGCTTGGGGTTCTCTCTCTCTCTCTCTACCCCACTGCCCCTTCCCCCCACTCTCTCTCTCTCTCAAAAAAAAAAAATCCCACCATAATAATAATATTAGAATTCTTAATATCCTTAGGTAAACCTGATCCATTTGAAAATGTTCAAATGTTCTTTATCTGGTATACAACATTTTGATCAACATCAGAATCTCAGCAAATCTCAAAGATACCCAGTTTTGACTGACGAGGCAGCTATTGTGCTAGAAAGAACACTGGAGAAGAAGAAATTATTAGACCCACAATGTAGTTCTGGATCAGTCGCTATCTAGTTGTTTGGCCTTGGACAAGCTACCACCTATGATCTGGTTTTCTCATCAGTAAAAATGCCTGCTCTGAAAATATCAGTATCATCAGATGATATCAGATGTCTTGAAAAAGGGCTTTGAAAATCGTGAAGGGCTATACTAATGTAAGGTATTAGCACTGGTCCATGTTCAGATCATTCATTTTATCTTAGTTATTCAATTAATGTCTACACTAGCCCTTTAGCTAATAATTAGGAATAAAGAAGCTACATTGTGCTAGTGCTTTACATTGCCACTTTATATATGTATACACATATAATACAAATATACACACACATATATATTATTTATATATACACGTATATTATTATATATATTACATCATATATATATTATTTAGTCCTCAAGCAACTTTATGATATGTATACTATTAGCCTTATAATATAGGTGAGACAAAAGCTGCGTGAAGTAAATACCACATAGCCAGGGTTAGAACCCAGGTCTTCTTGATTCCAAAGCCCATAGTATTTTTCTTAAACTACAGTGACTCCAGTCATTCATTCATTATTCATTTAAAGCCGTATAGTCCACAAGTATTTATTGCAAACTTCCCATGTTCTAGGAAATGCAAAGTTGAAGAACATCACCATTATGTACCAGAATGGTAAAAATAATGCCCAAAGTTCTATTGTTTTGCAGGACATTTTCACACATGTAGGACCTGGAAGTCAGGTATCTTGCTCAAGCTCACATCAGCAGTTAGTAGTAAGTTGAATCTCTGGAGCTCAAACCCAGGTCCTTTGGTTCTAAATTCTGGATCTTTCCATCTCACCACATTGCAAGGGAGCATGGGATGTGATGCGGTGTGTGGCTCTAACCAGTACTTGCATTTTCCTTCCTTCATTCTCCAGATGGTAGCAATTCAAGAACTTGATCAAATCTATTCTGGATGTCAAAATAAATTAAATTTGTGCTCTTTACTTGCCTAGTAAGATTCAGCGCTCACGAAATAAGTCAAACAGAGAAAGACATGTATCATATGATCTCACTGATATGAGGAATTCTTAATTGTAGGAAACAAACTGAGGGTTGCTGGAGTGGGGGGTGGGGTGGGAGGGATGGGGTAACTGGGTAATAGACACTGGGGAGGGTATGTGCTCTGGTAAGTGCTGTGAATTGTGCAAGACTGTTGAATCTCAGATCTGTACCTCTGAAACAAATAATGCAATATATGTTAAGAAAAAAAAAAAAGAAGAAGAAGGTAGCGGGAGGGGAAGAATGAAGCAGGGGAAATCGGAGGGGTAGATGAACCATGAGAGATGATGGACTCTGAAAAACAAACAGGGATCTGGAGGGGAGGGGGGTGGGAGGATGGGTTAGCCTGGTGGTGGGTATTGAGGAGGGCACATTCTGCATGGAGCACTGGGTGTTATGCACAAACAATGAATCATGGAACACTTCATCTAAAACTAATGATGTAATGTATGGGGATTAACATAAGAATAAAAAAAAAAAGAAAAAAGAAAAAAAGATTCAGCACTCACTTTGGGTAGCTGAAACAGTGGCTGAGGAAAATTTTATTTATATTATCCCCAGATCTGGGTGCTACAAATATATCCCTTATCCCACTGACAACAGTGATTTCCCCAGCCCTTTGTTCACTTCCTAGGACAAAGTTTTCATTTTAATAATTAAAAAAAAAAACCTTTGTTTTATTTTTAACTTGTACATAGAACAAGGCATCTAGGAAATAATGCTCTACCAGTCAATGAAATGTGGCTTGTTAAAATTTTAAAATACAAGTTAGAAAGTATTTACTGAGAACCTATATTTTACTTGGCACCGACAGTCATCGTTAGCATTTATCCCATTTATTATGAGATGCATCATCTCAATTAAACCTCTTAACCAGCCTGTGAAGTATTGTGATTCCCATTTGACAGATAGTAACCAGCACAAGTTCACCCAACCATTAAATGGTAGAGTTCAGATTTGCTCTTAGTTACTACATTACTGAATTGATAGTTACAAGGCAATTTCCATTTAGCAAATTGTACTGTGCATTTATTCTGTTCAATTCAAGCAAAAATGCTATGGTTAAAATGCCGTGTCTTCATGGTAAGTCATCAAATTACTTAACATCTAATGAAAAAAGGTGAACACTTAAACAGGTAATCTCAATGCAATGCAATCAATGCTAAAATAGAGGACACTGTGGGAAACCAGAAAGGGCACAAGGAACTGACTTAGGAATATGGAATATTGAAGCTGACTATTGAAGACCAAGTAGGAACTATCCAGGAAAAGAGGAAAGGGAAGACAAAAAATGTTATAGAGAAGATGGAGATAAAGAATGTTATAGGGAGAGAAATAATGGCAGGGTGGGGGAGGCAGGTGAGAGATTTAAGAGAGCATGATATGTCCAGAGAATGACACATAATCTCATGTGGCCAGGACTTGGTACCCATAGGAGAGAAATGAGGATGTGGACCAGGGGCCAGATCACCAAGGGCCATAAATACCAAAAGATTTATTTTTCTTGATGCATTTCACTATGATTTACAGGGGCCTGAGCAGATTTATAATATTAGGCAAAAAAGGTCAACGTTTAGGAAACCTTTTCCCTAATTCTGCTTACTCAAAGAGATTTTTACAAAGCATTGTATACATATGTAGGAGTATCACTTCCTGCTTGGCCCAGTAGAGCACCGCGGTGGGGGTGGGGGCTCCATATCCTGTTTCCTCATTAGCTGGCCACATATTTTCCTTCCTGATGACATTACAGTCACTGCTAGAAAGAGCATTATTCACTAGCAACTGAGGGACATCAATTAGCTCCTGAAACAGAGCAGTCATCAGTCACAAAGAGTTCCTGGTCATTATTCACCTGGGCTGGGGCAAACCCTCTGATCTCAGGATGACAGAGATGGTATTGAACATCAGCCCTTGAGGCCTCCAACCCTCTGCCCTCCTGCCCCCTTTGTAAATAAGATTATTGCTGTTGCTTCTGCCTGGTTTGCCCAAAGAGATACAGAAACCCTTCAGAACAAATAGATAAGGACTAAGGGGGAGAATCTTTTAAAACCATCC